TTTTTTTTAATATGGTGTAAAATTTCAGTTAAGATTTACAGAATCTCGGCTGTGAGATTCATAGTCGTCATTTATTATAAGAACTCATATCAGTAATTATTTTGCACATGCAAGCCATTGTGTTTCACCTTCCGAAACTACTGTTCTTTCTAATGTAGAATACGATGAACGAATCCGTTTTATTCTGATTGCATTTAGTTTAATGCTAGTTTTCAATGCATGGCAAAATTTCCAAAAAAAATCACTTTGTTTTTCATCTTTTTATATTCTTCTAGAAAGATGGCGAATATAGTGTTTACCTCACTCGTTACAGGATCCTAAAGACACGCCTCCCAAACCAATAATTGAGACACGAGCTGAAAAGAAGGAAAGGCGTAGAAGAGAAAAGGAAGAGCTGCTTGCGTATAAGGTGAGTCCCTTCACTCCCACTGTGATGATATATCGCTTACCTACACTTTTCTATTTGTTTTGAAATCTTTGATGTCATGGGAGCGGTGTTGCCTTGTTTCATTTTTCGCACTGATTTGATTTTTCTGAGTTTTTTCTATCTTTCAGGTTGAACAGGGTATCGCGCAATGGAATCCAGCCGAGAACCCTAATGCTACAGAAGACCCTTACAAGACCTTGTTTGTTGCTAGAATTGTATGTTATTAATTGTGTTCTTATTGGCGTTTGAGTAACAACATCTTGTTGCAGAATTACGAGACCTCGGAAAACAGATTGAAGCGTGAGTTCGAAACATATGGGAAAATTAAAAAAGTATGTTCGGTATTTTTTGTAACGCTTGGAATTTTTTTTCGTTAAATCTTTTCAATATTTTAGCTGGCTATGATTCATGATCTAAACGGAAAGCCACGAGGATATGCATTTATCGAGTATAGCGATAAGTCGGAAATGTCTAGTCAGTTCTATCACAATTCGTTTTTTTTATTCCTTGAAAAACATAGCTGTTTTTCTAAAGCATGGGTAGTTAGAGTGTAGGACTGTATGTACTTGTGAGCCCTAGTTGACCCCTTATACGTACAGATAATAAAATGTTCTTAGTAAATGCGCGTACTTGGCTTTCATTGCTATGGTTTTCGCTAATAATTGCTGTTTTCTTACAGCACTTCGCCAGATGTTCATATTCTGCTCTTTTGCGCTGGTTTCTGGTTGAGAGAATAGGTTTGTTTGAGACGAAGTTCATTTGAGTGCTTTAAATTTGGGG